TCCTTGAAAGTTGGCGCGGTCTTGAAGACCAAAATTTTACTGTAGCTGTAACTTACTCTGACTCCATCAAGGCTTTTCAAGAAGTTTCTCACAGCCGGTTGCTATATTATTTAAGTAATGTCGGGATTCAGGGCGATTTATTGATGTAAGTAAATAACTGTCTTGTTGGACGTCAACAAAGAAGACGGATGAATTCGAAGTTGTCCAGTTGGGAATCTGTGCTTGGTGGAGTATCGCAATGTGTATCTTTCAAGCCAGTGTTGTCCCTCTTGTACACAAATGACCTTCCTCGTTTCCTATCATCACCGGTTTTGTTACATGCTGACGTTATAATGACATGGAGAGTAATAAAAAGTAAAGGTGAGAGCCAAGAGATCCAACACGGCATGGATAAATTAGCCGAATAGTCTAGAATTTTCAGTCGCCGATATACGCCCTCAAATGCATTGTGATTATTTATTATTTATTTTAACACATAGGTATCGGTACAAGAAGGCACCAAATACATATGCGCCACATAGATCTCATTGGATATGTGTGGGGGCTGTGATACTGCCCGGGTGCCCAAACCGAAGCAGAGTGCATTGTGATGCGTATTGGTCATTAAAGTACCGATAAATACACGGTGAATAACCTGTTGTCCAGACACACAATGGCCTGGGAGTCAAAGTTAACCATCCCATCGCCGTGCGATGGCCACTAATGGTTTTGGAACACTAGGGTCAATATGTTAATTATGTGGCCATGTTGAAGCTAAAATCTATTTATCAGTTGTTTTGTGGAAATTGTAGTAATTTAGTAGTTGAGTTCATAATTCAAATAAAGCTTGACTACAATGGAAAGCCCGGAGACGATGGACGGCCATTTCGTCCTAGTATGAAACTCATCGACAGCGCGCATCCACAAGGATGATATGGACGAGGACGCAACTTCGTGGATTGGTTGATGTTAGACATTCCGCCGTTGGATGCCGGCTCAGTGGTCTAGCGATTAAGTGCTCGCGCGAGACGGAAGCTCCCATGTTTGAGCAGTTGCCGTGAGATGTGTGCACGCTTCATGGAAGCAACATTTGAAGTTGTCGCACTGCATGCCAGATGTAACAGCAAAACGGCTTCCAGGTCGTTTGCATGAATTTTTCATGGCTGTATTGACGTAAACTGTATTATAGATGCTAGCAAAAGCCTAAGACCGTTAAAAATACACTAAAAATAACACTAAAAACGGGAAAAATGGATAAAAACGGATGAGATAAACTGAACTACCATTTACGTGAAAAACTGAAAAAAAAACGAATAGAAAGCTGAGGCAAAACCACAGTTAACTAATAAATTGGGCGAAACTCAAAAAAAGTAATCTATCGAACGTATAGCTCAGAATAGATTCTTTAGATCCGAAATGGTACTTTTGTTGCGTAAGAACACAGCAAAAGTTTGAGAAATGCAAATCACGTTAGGACTAAACTTTCCGTTCGAAAAGCTAATAATGAATATAGATAACCAGTTATTTTTGACTGAGTTAGTAAGTTATGAGTACTAATCAATGTAACGTTACGATAATACATATGAGCATTAATCAGAGGACTATTAGAATAATGGGTTTACATAAGTAAAACTCGATCGAGAAAGTTAAAGTGAAAGTGAGGAATAATAATAATAGATTGCGTTTCTTTAGCCGAGCTTATTAATGTAGAATTATGGTCTACTATGATATTACTACTACTCTAATAATAGACCTAATCCTAAAATTGTAGATTTGTCATGATATAACTGCCTAATCTATAAGATCTTACGTGGAAGTCACATCATCGTCTACACCAACTCACTGCATCGTAACAACTAACAATACATGATGGAGAACAAGCTTAGGCTAGAGATAGAATAATATATTTAATATGAATAAAAGATATAAGGTAACATTTAGCAAGGACCACGCCTGCATGGCCGAGCCACGCCACACCATCCACTCCAATTCATTCAATTCATTGTTCCCGCCTCTTCCATTGTTGGGTATTTCTCTGAGTTAAATGTTGAATGTCTATTTCCCATACTGTCTCGTGTTAGGACCAAATGCCACTACTGATACATCATTTCATTTAGGAATTTGCACACTGATTCTCACAGTAAATGAGTTGTTTTATAAGTCGTTGTCAACAGCAGACAAGTTACAGATATAATTATTAGGCCTGCTGAAAATGCCACAGGTATTCGGAGTTTGACAACGCTTTAACCAGTAACACCTTCTAATATGAAGCGTACCCACCAAGTGAAATCAAAAGACAGAAGCGAGGAGATCGAAGATATATTTGATAAGCTATCAATATATCGAGGGTCGTTTGAACTAATCTGGATAGCGATTGCGGCAGATGTTGAGCACGGCGTTCCCAACACGTGATCTGGTGCGGATGCTTGACCGAGCGCCTTCAGCTAGATGAGTCCATTACAACTGTGGTCAGCATCCAATATCGAAAACTTACAGAGCTATATATTTTGGGGAATTATTTACCGCTACACTGCAAATGAAAATTAGTTAGCACATGGCCGTGATGCTAATGTGGAGCTCATTTTGCTTAGGACACCAGCATTTGCACTGAGACACCTTTTTCTGTAACTTTTCTATTTCTACGTTGTGCGTTGTTAAAAATTTATAATAATTGTGAATGCAACCTAAAAGAAATTTATTGATCACTCAACTTAGTGATAAAAGTTCCTCCACTTACGGTTAAAGCCTCTGGTGCTTCATTCTTCTGGTGTTTCTGAAACGAATTTTGCAATTGTGGCAGAAAATAATTAATTCATATGCAATAGGACACGTGTGAACCGCATATAACGAAAGCCTTTGATTATTGTTTAGTACTCATCCTATGCCATCACCACATTTACAACATGAAAGGTTGCGTTTCACTTCAACAATACGAATGAGTTAGATTTCAAAGTTATTTTATAGATGTAGATGTTACGTTCAAGTTTTTGTTCGCATCCGTAATTGAAGTACGGTTTATCGATCTATTTGCAATTTACGAAACCAAATTAACAATAAAACCAAGCTTCAATTTAGGTACCAAAGTTTATTCGCAATTTACAAATAGTCGACCCAAATGTCGTTCAGCAATAACTATAACAATTATAGAAACAAACCTTTAATTTTGTAGGTTCCCGGAGCAAAAACTCTCAAATAACAAACCAAAGACAAAGAGAAACCAAAATGCACGAAAACAATCATATAAACAGACAAGTCCAGAAGTTGAGTAAAAAAATACATCCAAAAACATAGTGAAATGAAGAATAATTAACATAAAGGTTTTAGTCAGCCAAATGACTTCAGTTTTCCCGTAACACATATAACAAGTGATTTTGATGGCTTGTTTTATAATTGTTTGAGAACTGGTTGAAATTTGTAGCAGTTGTTTTACGCTTCTTCCTGTAGTATGCTTTCACCGAGAGCACATCAAAGCGGAACGGTAATACTACTAATAAATTTTTCCGCAATTATAATGGAGTTTTATATGGTGTAGAGGTTTGTACACAGCAGCAGTAAGAAAAAAAAAGCGATTTCCACCCATTTTTAGGCGATTCTTTTTTCTCCTGAACTTGACTACTTAGGAAACATAAAAGATACAAAAAACTGTCAATTTTTGGAAACTAACTTCAATATGTCCACCAGCATTTAATGCCCACTGATCTAATTTCTTTTTGAAGTCATCCAGTGACAATGACGGAGTTAATCTAATGTCAAATGATGCTGACAACTGTTCAGGTACAACATTATGCTGCACACCTCCATTTATCATTGTCATATTAACTGTTGTTATATCCCCCAATGTTAGCTTTCCTAGAGAGTTTTCTAACCTTAATTGTTCTTCTTTGCGAAAACTGTAAATACTGAAAATAGAAAAAAAACTATATGTACGAATTTCGTTTGAACAATTTTTTACTTGGGGATATACACCACGCTAGACAAAATTCATTATAGTTTAATTTCGTCTGTGCTGCTGGTCTCACTAGAAGAATAGTAGAGATTCTAACGCTTACAAACCCTTCACTCCGATCGATAATTCTTTGACTGGTAAAATGGTGTGAATCCATGAAGTGTTTTATTTACTATCAGTAAATAATAGGAAATTGGTTACTGTGAATTATGAAGTTTGTCCCAGTAGAAATCGAAGATTACTGGTTCAATGGGAGGTACTACACTATGCAAAATGTTCAAATGACCCGGAACCAACTCACAGAAGCCAATATTATTTATTTAAATAATAGTTAGCTATGAGGAGTTTCTATTGCGACAAGAGAAAAATGTAGACATTGACTCATTTAGACCTACATTTCGAGTTAACCAGTTATCATATTTAGGATTAACAGTATCTGGAAGGATGGCTGTATTAAACTTTCACAATGCTGGTCCTCTAGTTGTCCGGTGTTTCTTCGATTTCAGTTTCATCGTGGCCACAACTAGGTGGTGATCTGAAGCTATGTCAGCTCCTTTTTTGGTTCTCACATTTTCCATGGATCCTCTGAAATTTTTATTGATGCAAATATGGTCGTTCTTGTTCTCTATAGTGTGGTCCGGTGAAACCCATGTAGCTTTGTGTATGCGTTTGTGGGGGGAAATTATGTCACCTGTAGCCATGTTGTTGAAAACACATAAATATGTAAGTCCCTCGCCATTCTTGTTCCCTCCTCCAGTTCCATGTCGTCCCATGACAACTGTAACCCTCCTTGGTGGATGCATAGCGCTGGATAACATTTATTGTGACCCTTTCCTTCTTTGTTTTGTAGAATGCTTCGACGGTTCTAGGTCCATGAGATTCCCATCCAATAAATGCTTCTCGTGCTTCTTCCGACAGCATCATAGCAACTCGCTCAGTGTGAGGAGCACCTCCTGCTTCGTGTTCAGAATACAGCAGCAACTCTACCGTATCTAGCCTATGCTGACCAGCTTGAGTTCGATGTGCTTCAGCGGCTGTTGAGTGGCTTGTTAAATTGGGTCAAGATTTACAGCTCATGTGCAATGTAGTTGAAATCGTTCCAGATAATCCTATCGTCATCATGCGTTGGGATGGATATCAACCGGAATTACCGGCAATCATGTTAAATTCACATATGGACGTAGTACCAGTAGTCGAAGAAAAATGGTCATATCCTCCATTCAGTGGTACGATTACACCTGATGGTAAAATATACGGTCGAGGTACTCAGGTAATTAAATCTCATGATTATACTGTTCGCTAGAACAGTATAGATATTCACTTTTTACTCAAATGTAAATAGTTATTATGATGAACTTATTATAGTTGAACTAGTAGATCGATATGGTTGTAATTATAAGAAGTATTTTACTGTAAGTTTTTTGTTTCATGTTAGTAACTAGTTTTCTGTGCAGGCTTGGTTTGACCACTCGTGCAATCGTATACATCTTATGGAATTTAAGTTATATAGGTGGTCGTCGTCTACACGTTAATACAAGTTAACGTATTTAACAAAAAAAGCTACTACCTTAACATTTGTTCGTAAAACAATCGGCCAATTTTCCGTAAACCTCGAGTGACCTTGTATCAAACTAGTCATCATCAACTTAGGACCTTGCAAAATTATACACTAACCCCAATTCCCATGTCATATCAGCACCTTGCGGGGAAATGCACTAAATCAACAGCAAGGCAGTTGGTGTAGTATTTGGAACCTAAATTCTGCAGGATTATAAATTGACTAATGACACATTTCGATCGTATTTAAGCTTGATCTGGTGCGAAAATTTATTGTATTAACACATAAGATTGTTCAATTTACCTATATATGCATGGTTCATTTTTTCTATTGTAATGCAATAATTATGGATTTGGAACTGTAAAACCTGATGATCGAGTTACTGAAAACAATTATTTCTTCAGGTATTCCTTGTTCTTAAATACTCAATACATCTTGCACTCCTGCGTGCTATCTTGAGTCATGACACCTAAGGCTGCTGGCTATCAGTCACTATTATTGCTCAGACCCTATCTAGGTAGTTTTCACTTACACACACAGCTTAAACTAATGGTCATTAACTTAATATACTGGGACCTCAACTTAATTTGCCTGCCTTAGCTTTCCTATTCATTTTGGCGATAATCTCATCTAAAAATCTTGTGGAATCTTTTAACTGTGTAAATACGTATTGATATTTTTTCTAGTCTGTAGACTAGATTCCGAAATGAAACACTAAGAACATCCCTTTTTAAAGTGAAGGTTTCATTCAATAAAAATTTTAATAGTTGAGATCATGAGTCAATTGAAGCTAGACAACCATGGAAAACGTGAAAGCATTGAACGGCCGTTTCGTCCTACTGTGGGACTCCTCATCAGTACGCATTTACGATCCCTCCTCGCGGAATTCGAATCCAGGACCTACGAGTTTCGCCCAGTTGACACTCTTTCTGAAAACTTTCGGATTCTATGTATCTTTTTGTTATTTTAATATTGGTGTAGGGTGTGTGTGGAGATTTTTGAATTTTCTTCTGTACGTCACGAACTGACCTTAGTTATTTAACTATTAAAAACCGAGGAGCACTGGAAAACTGTTTCATCCTAGTATGATACTTCCTATCTTACTAGTAACTGATTTACAAAGACAGTTTTCCTATATACGTTGTAAGGACGTAACCAAAGGAGTCCAACCAGGCCAAGAGTGAGGAAGTTGTCCACCAATCGGATTGGAAAATGACCGAGTAATATCGCAAATTGATTAAAATCAGTAATGTAAACCATCGGATCCCAACTCAGCTTTCTAAACTTCAATGACTCACTGTTAGACCTGGAAGTTTTCAGCCCGATCTCCGATAGTGTCGTCAGTGTTCACTTGGAAGTTCTATACTGCAGTGGAATCGATGTTTTCGATAGTTGTCTAACCAACGTTAGTCCATAATGTAAACTGCAAAGTTCGTTTATTACTTGTGAAATTTTGAAATACATCATTGGATACTCTGTTCTGAGATGTTATTTAACCTGTTATGCCATTCATATTCTTTTGTTGAAGGATATGAAATCAATTGGTATTCAACAGTTGGAGGCTATTCGAAGATTAAAATCACGTGGATGCCACCAGTTGCGTCGTACAGTTTACTTGACTTTTGTACCTGACGAGGAGTTGGGTGGTGTGAAAGGAATGAAACCATTTGTATCAAATCATAATGAATGTAATAATCATCATTCCGAAGAAATTAGATTTCAAGATATGAATATCGGGCTTTGTTTAGATGAAGGTATACCAAGTTGCTCGGAAGATTATTTAGCATTTTACGACGAACGTCGTCCAGTTTGGATAAATGTACATTTTCATGGTAATGCTGGTCATGGTCTGGCTTTAATTGAAAATACAGCCGCCGAAAAATTCCGGATATTTTTAAATAAGTAAGGCTTCTTAAAATGTCTTCCATGTTTTATTTGGGTTTGTGTTGATTCCATATCGTATTTTCAACGGATTATATATATTGAATACGATGTCTTTTATTTTTCTGTCGATGGTGACTAATAGTAGAATGCAAGATATACTTTTGTCCAACTTCACACTCACCAACTAAATCTACTTGCATTTTTTATCGTTAACGTACCCACTAAATACCAAGTCCACTACCAATCGCTGTCACTTTCAGAAAGTTATCCATGATGTTGATTAACGGGTGTTGGAGGTCTGTAAATCCATTGAAAGCGACTACGATCAATTATGTAGCTTTTGTTTGCTACTGTTAATCCTAAATATGATAACTGGTTAACTCGAAATGTAGGTCTAAATGAGTCAATGTCTACATTTTTCTCTTGTCGCAATAGAAACTCCTCATAGCTAACTATTATTTAAATAAATAATATTGGCTTCTGTGAGTTGGTTCCGGGTCATTTGAACATTTTGCATAGTGTAGTACCTCCCATTGAACCAGTAATCTTCGATTTCTACTGGGACAAACTTCATAATTCACAGTAACCAATTTCCTATTATTTACTGATAGTAAATAAAACACTTCATGGATTCACACCATTTTACCAGTCAAAGAATTATCGATCGGAGTGAAGGGTTTGTAAGCGTTAGAATCTCTACTATTCTTCTAGTGAGACCAGCAGCACAGACGAAATTAAACTATAATGAATTTTGTCTAGCGTGGTGTATATCCCCAAGTAAAAAATTGTTCAAACGAAATTCGTACATATAGTTTTTTTTCTATTTTCAGTATTTACAGTTTTCGCAAAGAAGAACAATTAAGGTTAGAAAACTCTCTAGGAAAGCTAACATTGGGGGATATAACAACAGTTAATATGACAATGATAAATGGAGGTGTGCAGCATAATGTTGTACCTGAACAGTTGTCAGCATCATTTGACATTAGATTAACTCCGTCATTGTCACTGGATGACTTCAAAAAGAAATTAGATCAGTGGGCATTAAATGCTGGTGGACATATTGAAGTTAGTTTCCAAAAATTGACAGTTTTTTGTATCTTTTATGTTTCCTAAGTAGTCAAGTTCAGGAGAAAAAAGAATCGCCTAAAAATGGGTGGAAATCGCTTTTTTTTTCTTACTGCTGCTGTGTACAAACCTCTACACCATATAAAACTCCATTATAATTGCGGAAAAATTTATTAGTAGTATTACCGTTCCGCTTTGATGTGCTCTCGGTGAAAGCATACTACAGGAAGAAGCGTAAAACAACTGCTACAAATTTCAACCAGTTCTCAAACAATTATAAAACAAGCCATCAAAATCACTTGTTATATGTGTTACGGGAAAACTGAAGTCATTTGGCTGACTAAAACCTTTATGTTAATTATTCTTCATTTCACTATGTTTTTGGATGTATTTTTTTACTCAACTTCTGGACTTGTCTGTTTATATGATTGTTTTCGTGCATTTTGGTTTCTCTTTGTCTTTGGTTTGTTATTTGAGAGTTTTTGCTCCGGGAACCTACAAAATTAAAGGTTTGTTTCTATAATTGTTATAGTTATTGCTGAACGACATTTGGGTCGACTATTTGTAAATTGCGAATAAACTTTGGTACCTAAATTGAAGCTTGGTTTTATTGTTAATTTGGTTTCGTAAATTGCAAATAGATCGATAAACCGTACTTCAATATCTGGAACGAGCATATACTTGAACGTTAGAATGAGCATGACTTGTACTTGAGCACCAAGATGATAGAGATTGTACAACAGTAATCTGCTTAAATGAATGGCCACTGTTCATAAGATGTAGACCAAGGATTCACATTAGGTTTATTAAACGACAACAGATGTATACATGCAGGACAGTTTTTTGATTTTCGACCTATATCAGCTTTAATCGCAGGCCTTTAAAAAGTCTGACGAGCAAGCGGTTTCTGTGTTTCTTCTCCAAAGTGGGTGGAATAGAGGTCATCTAATGCCGCATATCTGAGTGCAGAGGAAATGATTATTCTGCCATGATGTTGATTAACGGGTGTTGGAGGTCTGTAAATCCATTGAAAGCGACTACGATCAATTATGTAGCTTTTGTTTGCTACTGTTAATCCTAAATATGATAACTGGTTAACTCGAAATGTAGGTCTAAATGAGTCAATGTCTACATTTTTCTCTTGTCGCAATAGAAACTCCTCATAGCTAACTATTATTTAAATAAATAATATTGGCTTCTGTGAGTTGGTTCCGGGTCATTTGAACATTTTGCATAGTGTAGTACCTCCCATTGAACCAGTAATCTTCGATTTCTACTGGGACAAACTTCATAATTCACAGTAACCAATTTCCTATTATTTACTGATAGTAAATAAAACACTTCATGGATTCACACCATTTTACCAGTCAAAGAATTATCGATCGGAGTGAAGGGTTTGTAAGCGTTAGAATCTCTACTATTCTTCTAGTGAGACCAGCAGCACAGACGAAATTAAACTATAATGAATTTTGTCTAGCGTGGTGTATATCCCCAAGTAAAAAATTGTTCAAACGAAATTCGTACATATAGTTTTTTTTCTATTTTCAGTATTTACAGTTTTCGCAAAGAAGAACAATTAAGGTTAGAAAACTCTCTAGGAAAGCTAACATTGGGGGATATAACAACAGTTAATATGACAATGATAAATGGAGGTGTGCAGCATAATGTTGTACCTGAACAGTTGTCAGCATCATTTGACATTAGATTAACTCCGTCATTGTCACTGGATGACTTCAAAAAGAAATTAGATCAGTGGGCATTAAATGCTGGTGGACATATTGAAGTTAGTTTCCAAAAATTGACAGTTTTTTGTATCTTTTATGTTTCCTAAGTAGTCAAGTTCAGGAGAAAAAAGAATCGCCTAAAAATGGGTGGAAATCGCTTTTTTTTTCTTACTGCTTCTGTGTACAAACCTCTACACCATATAAAACTCCATTATAATTGCGGAAAAATTTATTAGTAGTATTACCGTTCCGCTTTGATGTGCTCTCGGTGAAAGCATACTACAGGAAGAAGCGTAAAACAACTGCTACAAATTTCAACCAGTTCTCAAACAATTATAAAACAAGCCATCAAAATCACTTGTTATATGTGTTACGGGAAAACTGAAGTCATTTGGCTGACTAAAACCTTTATGTTAATTATTCTTCATTTCACTATGTTTTTGGATGTATTTTTTTACTCAACTTCTGGACTTGTCTGTTTATATGATTGTTTTCGTGCATTTTGGTTTCTCTTTGTCTTTGGTTTGTTATTTGAGAGTTTTTGCTCCGGGAACCTACAAAATTAAAGGTTTGTTTCTATAATTGTTATAGTTATTGCTGAACGACATTTGGGTCGACTATTTGTAAATTGCGAATAAACTTTGGTACCTAAATTGAAGCTTGGTTTTATTGTTAATTTGGTTTCGTAAATTGCAAATAGATCGATAAACCGTACTTCAATATCTGGAACGAGCATATACTTGAACGTTAGAATGAGCATGACTTGTACTTGAGCACCAAGATGATAGAGTTTGTACAACAGTAATCTGCTTAAATGAATGGCCACTGTTCATAAGATGTAGACCAAGGATTCACATTAGGTTTATTAAACGACAACAGATGTATACATGCAGGACAGTTTTTTGATTTTCGACCTATATCAGCTTTAATCGCAGGCCTTTAAAAAGTCTGACGAGCAAGCGGTTTCTGTGTTTCTTCTCCAAAGTGGGTGGAATAGAGGTCATCTAATGCCGCATATCTGAGTGCAGAGGAAATGATTATTCTGCCATGATGTTGATTAACGGGTGTTGGAGGTCTGTAAATCCATTGAAAGCGACTACGATCAATTATGTAGCTTTTGTTTGCTACTGTTAATCCTAAATATGATAACTGGTTAACTCGAAATGTAGGTCTAAATGAGTCAATGTCTACATTTTTCTCTTGTCGCAATAGAAACTCCTCATAGCTAACTATTATTTAAATAAATAATATTGGCTTCTGTGAGTTGGTTCCGGGTCATTTGAACATTTTGCATAGTGTAGTACCTCCCATTGAACCAGTAATCTTCGATTTCTACTGGGACAAACTTCATAATTCACAGTAACCAATTTCCTATTATTTACTGATAGTAAATAAAACACTTCATGGATTCACACCATTTTACCAGTCAAAGAATTATCGATCGGAGTGAAGGGTTTGTAAGCGTTAGAATCTCTACTATTCTTCTAGTGAGACCAGCAGCACAGACGAAATTAAACTATAATGAATTTTGTCTAGCGTGGTGTATATCCCCAAGTAAAAAATTGTTCAAACGAAATTCGTACATATAGTTTTTTTTCTATTTTCAGTATTTACAGTTTTCGCAAAGAAGAACAATTAAGGTTAGAAAACTCTCTAGGAAAGCTAACATTGGGGGATATAACAACAGTTAATATGACAATGATAAATGGAGGTGTGCAGCATAATGTTGTACCTGAACAGTTGTCAGCATCATTTGACATTAGATTAACTCCGTCATTGTCACTGGATGACTTCAAAAAGAAATTAGATCAGTGGGCATTAAATGCCGGTGGACATATTGAAGTTAGTTTCCAAAAATTGACAGTTTTTTGTATCTTTTATGTTTCCTAAGTAGTCAAGTTCAGGAGAAAAAAGAATCGCCTAAAAATGGGTGGAAATCGCTTTTTTTTTCTTACTGCTTCTGTGTACAAACCTCTACACCATATAAAACTCCATTATAATTGCGGAAAAATTTATTAGTAGTATTACCGTTCCGCTTTGATGTGCTCTCGGTGAAAGCATACTACAGGAAGAAGCGTAAAACAACTGCTACAAATTTCAACCAGTTCTCAAACAATTATAAAACAAGCCATCAAAATCACTTGTTATATGTGTTACGGGAAAACTGAAGTCATTTGGCTGACTAAAACCTTTATGTTAATTATTCTTCATTTCACTATGTTTTTGGATGTATTTTTTTACTCAACTTCTGGACTTGTCTGTTTATATGATTGTTTTCGTGCATTTTGGTTTCTCTTTGTCTTTGGTTTGTTATTTGAGAGTTTTTGCTCCGGGAACCTACAAAATTAAAGGTTTGTTTCTATAATTGTTATAGTTATTGCTGAACGACATTTGGGTCGACTATTTGTAAATTGCGAATAAACTTTGGTACCTAAATTGAAGCTTGGTTTTATTGTTAATTTGGTTTCGTAAATTGCAAATAGATCGATAAACCGTACTTCAATATCTGGAACGAGCATATACTTGAACGTTAGAATGAGCATGACTTGTACTTGAGCACCAAGATGATAGAGTTTGTACAACAGTAATCTGCTTAAATGAATGGCCACTGTTCATAAGATGTAGACCAAGGATTCACATTAGGTTTATTAAACGACAACAGATGTATACATGCAGGACAGTTTTTTGATTTTCGACCTATATCAGCTTTAATCGCAGGCCTTTAAAAAGTCTGACGAGCAAGCGGTTTCTGTGTTTCTTCTCCAAAGTGGGTGGAATAGAGGTCATCTAATGCCGCATATCTGAGTGCAGAGGAAATGATTATTCTGCCATAAAAGCACAAAAAATATCAAGATGGATTGATATATATTTTTCACTTTTGTAAAACACAGGAAACCCACGCTTGCTCTGAATATCCTAGCCTTTTTTCAATTGCAGTTATGACAGTTCCAAAATGTCCATGCGTGTCCTTCACGAGTTCTGCCATATCAACAGGTTACGGAAGACCCAACATTTAATCAGTTTCCTTAGGTGGTCATTCGAAATAGGAATAGCGTGATAGAAATTCTACATGTGGTACGATTTTGGGAACTCAGTACCAGCTGAAGTCATAATCACTCAACAATAAATTCCATCTCAAGATCACGGCAGCGGATGACCAGCGAAGTGATTTGGTTGGATGATACAATATAAAAATGTGCAATAAAAAACTATTTGTGCAGATTTTTACCGCCTACATCACAGTTAAATCCCCCTTTTGGATGACAGAATATCCTTGTTCACTCTTGCTTGATAGTCTTGGAATAAAGATAATAGCTTTCTCATTCTGTTCCAGAAAGTAGGTAGTTCATACGATGTTTAAAACCCTTAGCCTCTACAGTATTGCTTGACAGGATTCAATACCATCAAAACCGGTGATAATCTGACCTATGACCTTTTGAAATATTGCAGGTAGGATATTCAATCACAATGGTAGGGATTTCCATCTAAACAGTTAAATGGTGTGTTAATAACAGTTAGTTCATTTGAGATTTCATCTAATAGAGTTTGTTTAGGTCAGTCGACCCGCCTTTCATTGAGTCACAATGGAGCAGCCCAACCGAAAGACTGAGTTTGAATTATTATCCTTTCCCAACCAGTTTATCGGTTTCAGGACAGGAGGTTAGGTGGCCAATGTTAGTTCTGGAAATGGTGATCACTCAGTTGATGCAAATTTCTATTGAAAGAGCCTACAGATGAGGCTTCAATCACGTGTTGAGTTAATGAATTTCACTCGCTGATGATGCGATGGGAATGTCTATAGTCAGATGACAACCTATTTGTTCTGGGCTTGTGAACGTTTTTGAATTGTCTTCGCAAATTCTCTGTTTTGGAAGACGAAAAATTCAAGGCATATGAGATGAAAATTATCACCAAGTAATTTAAAAACTGTGATCAAGTCGTCTCTGGTTCTTCTATATGACAATAGAAATAGGTTTAATGAGGCCAGTTGAGAATCATACAGTAGCTTTTCCATTTGGAGAATCAACCTAATTGCTGTTCTTTGAAACATTTTAAACAGTTTGCTGTCCATTTTTAGACAGAAGCTAGCTGCTTGTATTCAGTACTGGAGGTTGAAACTCACGAATACTGTATACAAGGTGATATATATTGGGCCGCCGATTAGAGAGCAGTGAATTATCGATCGGACCAATGACGCATAAAACACGTGCGAGCGGCCCTGCTTTACGCCTACCTGTGGTGTTTGAATGAACTAATGATTGCTTTGTACTTGTTGAATGCTTGATTTCGAATTCTAAATACAATATATTCCTTAGTGCTTGTGTAGTACTTCTTGATTCAATTACGTTATTTCTGGGATTCTTAGTTCATACTATAATTCAATTACTCCTAATTATCATACTAGCCCAGCCAGTTAAGACCAGCACGCCAATCTAAGCCTCTGCAATATGAATCATTATACTTCAAAGATACTGAGTTTTTATACCAATCAAACAGACCACAACGTAGCATGAAATAGAAAATAATATCCGTACAAAATTTAGCCAGATGTGGCTGTGAATGTGGGAGGCAGTGACTAATAAACAGGGCATAATTCAAGAACGGTAAAACGTATGATAAGGGTTCATAAATCAAAATAAAGCTTATAATAAGAGGAACATGAATATGAATAGTTTAGTTATTCAACAATTATACGATAGAAATATACGTTTAGTATTGTTCCACAAATGGACCCCAAAATTGCCATTCATTATTCTTGTCGGGACATAGCACAAAGACAGAATGAGGGAGATTATCGGCCAAAGAACCTTCGCTGATGGCCTGTTCAAACAACTTTTCTTATCAAAACTTCCTCAACAAGGGCAAGCTGTGCTGGTCTCGTTTCAAAACAACGCCCTAGACGAGCTGGCTGAATCTGCCGACCGTATCCCCGAAATAACTAAACCTTCTAATTCCGAGGTTTTTTCAGTCAAAGAAAAGCCACAAACGACCCAGGATGACATAACAGAGTTATGTCATACACTTGAGCGTTATCTCAAACTTCGTAACGACCCTAAACGGTCACACACCCTGCGAAGAAGCACATCACGTAGGCGATCTATCTCTAGACCTCGAGAGACGGATAATCCTGACTGGTGCTGGTATCATAACCAGCATGGAAAGTCCTCCAGAAATTGCAGAAAAACCTGCAACTCAAAATCGGTCGACACGAAAAATGTTTCAGGAAACTTCCAAGCCAGCACGGGTTAACGGAAACCGTAGCCGGCGAACATAGCCGTCTATCTTATGTCACTGATGTGATAACGAGAGTTCGCTACCTCGTCGATACTGTCGCAGAAGTCAGCGTTCTCCCAGCGAATTCCAACGACCGGCTTTACAAATCGGTTTTAAATTTACAGGCGGCAAACGGAAAGCCTATCACTACGTATTGCAAAAGGTACGTTTATCTATCAACCACTACTCGATAAGTATTCTGGCATCTACCAACCGCAACTGAAATTGCCGTGTGTAACCAGCAACGTTACACATCACATCACGACTACAGGACCACCTGTCTTCTCGAAAGCACACCGACCGGCCTCCGAAAAGTTAAGGTTGGCGAAAAACGAATTCCACTATATGATAGACTTAGAAATCGTACGACGTCAAATGGCCCATGGGCATCTCCGTTGCACATGGTCCCTAAAAAGGACAGCAACGATTGGCGTCCAACTGGTGATTATCAGCGATTGAATGAATAAACCATTCTCGATCGTTATCCGTTGCCTCACATTCACGATTTGACAGCTACCTTGAAAGGTACAACTGTCTTTTCGAAAATCGACTTGGTTAAGGCGTATAACCGAATTCCTATGGCCACTGACGATACTCCAAAAACCGCTATTATAACACCCTTCAGACTCTATAAATTTTTAAGAATGCCTTTCGGTCTGAGAAAGGCGGCACAAAATTTCCAGAGGTTCATACATGATGTTTTTCGAGGTCTCAACTTCGTACATGCGTATGTTGATGACTGCGTAATAGCAAGTCCGGACAGAGAATCACATCTCCAGCATCTGGACCTTGTTTTCGACCGACTACAAAAACATGGCATTACTGTAAACATTCAGAAATACCAAATCGGAACCGACTCCTTAGACTTCTTAGGACACACTATCGATGCGCAAGATATCCGACCCCTTAGAACAAAAGTGGCGGTCATTCTGGACCACCCAGAACCGACCACCATCAAGCAATTGCGCACGTTTAACGGTCTGGTAAGTTTTTATAGACGCTTCATACCCAAATGCGCCTTAATTATGAAACCTCTTACCGACCAACTTCGTGGAAATGCGAAATCCATCAATCTGGATGACAACTCGCGAAAAGCATTCCCCACGATTAAGGAACGTATCACTCAAGCGACCATGCTTTCTCATCAGGACCCTGAAGCGCCCATTAGTATTGCAGTAGACGCATCCGACTCAGCAATCGGGGGAGTCTTACAACAATGGGTCAACCACTCCTGGCAACCTTTGGCATCTTTCTCTAGACGGTTGCTAGACACTGAACCGAGGTACAGCACATTCGGTAGGGAACTCCTAGCTATGTATTGTGCCGTCCGGCATTTTCAACACTATATCGAAGGCTGTGAATTCACCCTTTTTACCGACCATAAGCCTCTTACTTTCTCTCTAAGCTCATCTTCAGACAAGTACTCACCACGTGAGTCTCGACAACAGGATTACATTTCGCAGTTTACTTCAGATATTCGACACATTTCTGGAGCAAACAATGTAGTTGCAGACGCCTTGTGTTCAAGGTCATACACTTAAACAACAGGTACAATCATTTAATGATAAATGTACATGCAGTGGGAAGTTAACAGAATAAATACAAGTAACATTAAA